TTGACACAGACATCAAGTCAGGCACTTAACAGCACTTTATCTTCATAGGCTTGTTTACACAAAAGGGTGATATCCCTGGGGCAGTTCAAAACGTTAACGGGGGCGGGTGCAAAGAGAACTTTGGAAGGCCATCGTTGATGACTATTTTGCCTGCTTCATTTCACAACGGAACCGACTCTGTTTCCCTGCCCAGGCTCTGACCATGCTGGACATCATCCTGGCCACCGTGGCTGCCCAGTTTATCGGGTTCCTGTGGTATAACCCCAACACCTTTGGGAACATGTGGCTCCAGCTGACCTATCCACCCTACAGGAAACACGAGTTTGGGAAGTACCCGAACTCCGTCTGCTATGGATCAGCCTTTGCCTCGGCCCTGAGTGTGGCCCTGCTCTTGTCATATGTGCTGTGAGTTAACAGAATTTCCCTTTTTGCAACACCTGTGGGAAAGAGTGAAACATTTTGAAATGAACCCTTTCATAAATGCATAAGTTACGAGGGTGGATCAAAAAGTTCTCGGCCTCACCTAGAAAATAAAGGGCAAACTCCTATTCTTTAGTATAACTGTATACTATGATGTCTTACATCACTGCACACAAAAATTCAAATTTCTATATTCATTAGTTAGCACGTGACGCCCCGTGAAAATGGGGCGGGTGAGGGCAAAATCACAAAATGGCCGCAACAGAAGCGTATGCTGTGATCATGTATATCGATAAAAAGGGATTTCTCGTAAGGAAATCTATGAACACATGGCCAGGACACTTGGTGATGACTCTCCTTCTTATTCAACTATAAAGAAGTGGGTTGCTAGCTACAAGCGCTGCAAGGTGAGCACCAAAGATGAACATATGTCAGGATGCCACAAATCAGCACCATGGACAATCCAGTTGAGGCCATCCATCACATGGCAGTAAATGACAGATGTGAGACTGTCCAACATGTAGCAGAGTCTTTAGCCTGTGTTGTGGCTCTGTTCACAATGTTTTGTCAGACATCCTGGGGATGAGCAACCTGTCTGTAAGGTGGGTGCCTAGAATGTTTTCTGAACATCAGAAGTCAAACAAGCTGGACATTTCAAGGAACGAATTCAGTCCAATCCATGCAATTACCTCAAAACATTTTTCACCCAAGATGAGACATGGTTTCACCACTTTCACCCCAAATCAAAACAACAGAACAAACAATGAATGAAGAATGTTTCCCGGCCCCCAAGAAGTTTTATCGAGTTTCATCCGTTGACAGGGGTTTTGTCTCTGTTTTCTGGGACAGCAAGGGAGTAATCATGACTGAATACCTGTGAATAGGTTAAAACATCAATGGGGAGTACTATTTAACAGAATAGCAACAGTTGAGGACAACGATCAAAGAGATAAAGAGAGGAAAGCACCGAGCTGGCGTGATGACAATGCACCTGTCCACACATCACAGAGGTCAGTGACAGCAGCAAACGAATTTGGCTTTGAAGTCTAACCCCACCCTTCCAATTCACCTGACCTAGCACCCTCGGACTTCTACCTATTTCCTAAACTGAAGTTCCACTTACGTGGTAAACGTTTTTATGGTAATGATGACGTCATCAGTGCGGGTGAGCCCTATCTGGGGGCTCCAGATTCAACCTTCTTCCACAAGGGGAAAACAAACCCGGAACATCACTGGACCAAGTGCATTGCAGTTAGAGGGGACTATGTTGAAACATAGTGTAAGAAATTTTTTTTCTGCCACGACGTTTTCTAGGTGAGGCCGAGAACTTTTTGATCCACCCTCGTAATTCATATGGTCACTAAACGTTTGCATTTCTGTCAGTTTAATACTGTTCTTCCTTCACTTCTTCCAGGTCCAGTTTTTAAAACATATTCTTGTGGAGATATTTGAACTAAATTGATTATGCCTTTAAGTCTATAACTGTTATACTTCGTCGCTGAAGACTATTGAGATTCAGTATACATGTATTCACATCACAGATTTCTGTTCTTCCTTCTCCAGACCATACCTGGGTGCCACAACCCTGGGGGCATCAGTGCAGTCTGCCCTGCTCCTGTCTGCGCTCACAACAGCTGTGGAGCTGCCACATCTCACCTTTGGTGCCCAGGAGATCGGCATGTTTGCCATAGACAAAGGCCACAACACCGCAGTCATGGTTGTGCAGGCTATTGTCCTCTTCCTGGTTTAGAGGTCAATATCCTACTAGCCCTTACAGCTTTTTAAACGAGTAAAGTTTAAGGTTCCTTCTTGATGTAATGAGAAGTACTCTTTTACCTTACAAAATATGTAGCTCCCTTGCTATATGCCCTTGTTTTATCTGTTGTTCAGCAAGAAATGCAAAGACAACCATATAAAGTAAAACACAGCATTGTCTTGGAGTCATCACACAGAGTTTTATGTACAACCATGGCTCCCTTCTACTAGTACCTCTATGGTACAACTTTCATGCATCACACAGTATATACATATTGGGTTGCATAGAACACTATTTAGTGATGCAGTGATAGCAGTAAGGCTGTAACTAGTACAATGAGTATACATGTATAATCTATACCTATATCATACATAAATGCTATATTATAAATTACAATTTGTTAAAATAATTTGTACAATTATCAGTTCATTTATTTCTGTGTCACATCAGGTCCTAATGAGTAAATCTGTATCTATCTTATCAAGATTGTTTATGATTGTAACAAGCAGTGAGGTAACTAAAAACAAGCCTGTTTTAGAATGGTCTATGATGCAATGAATACAGGCTTAATAAAAACAGAACTGAACAGTGCTATTTCTGTGCTACGATAAAAAATATACATATATAAGCTCCATTTATATGCATTAGGCACTTGGGTAACATATTGCAGTATATACATGGTGAGTTTCTTTTACGTTTAAAACAATTTTACAATGACATGTAGCTACTTTCTAAGAATGGTTCTTGTTGCAACATCAGGGGTAATAGTTATGTATATGTATCACATTATATACAATATACCAGGATAGTGGTGAGAGTATACAAGCATTACCAAATTAAATGCTCTTTTATCTAGCATTTATATCTGTTTATTCATAAACAGCAAATGACTTGCAATGTTGCTAGAAATAGGATGTATGCCTGTACATTAGAATATCTTAAAATGCAACATACTGGTGAAAAAGGTCATACATATGAGTAGAAGACTATTGTACATGGAATCATCATTGAAAAATTTACTACTAGTACATAAAATTTCATGAACTCCTGTGGGGCCATGATTGGTCCAAAGAGTATGACAAAAGTATGCTAAAATTTCAAACTGTAGGAAAATACAAGCTTTAAAAAAATTACATTGTGGCATGGAAGCCAAATTACTTCATTTCAACAAAAAGAATGATTATACATACAGTGTGCAAGTAAAACTGCATGCAATACATACATTTGTATTTGAGAGTTGGTCCCAAGGATTCCTTTAGAATATCCTACCACATATAACATCTTTCACAACTTTAAAGGAACCACTGGTACAATCAGTGTCCTTTGCATTGAGGAGTTAATCATAAACTGGTTTGAAGCCAGGTTTTTTCTGCCCACCAAACTGTACAGGGGTGTTGTTGTCAAAGGGCAGTGCTCTTGGGATGGCTCCCTCTCCTTCTGTAAGTGCTCTGTAAGGGCTGTCATCGTCTTCTTTCCCTGGAACAAACAAGCTTACACTAAAGCTGTCCTGACATTAAAGAAAGTATTTTAAAATTTGGACCTTTAATATTATACTCTTTCTCTTTTCTGTCTATGGTACCGTACACCAATATAATTTCACTGTTCATTTTTCTGATTGAAAAAATGATCATACGTACTATTTTTATTACAAATAATACACTAAAAGGCATGGTTTTGCTTCCACTTTTCTTTAACCAAATGCCAATGGTTAAGCTTTTGTTCACAAGACTCACCTGTAAGCACAATGTTTCGAAGGTCAGGCATCTCTGCAAAAGGCAAGTATTCCTGACCTGAATGGTGGAGAGCGAATGATGAGTCAGTAACTGCATAAAATTACAATAATTATATAGGAAAAATTTGGTTGCCTTTTCCGTAGCTCCCCTAGTATGGTATATGTACGTACCACAAGGGATCCCTGCCTGTCTCCTCATGTCTTCAGTCTCAAAGAATGTCTCGTGGTCCTCCCAGTGACGGTCACATGCTGCACACAGGAAATTGGACTCAAACTGGCTGCAGCGACAACCTGGGTTGAGTGATATAAATATTGTCAATATTACTTATTCACTATGAAAACTGGTGTGTTATGCCTAAAGGCAAACAGTTAAGAGTTGGCATGTGACCAGTGCTCATCTTTACAATGTCTATCAAAAGATTTAGAATGAAGCATGGTCTCACCTTTTGCCTTGCATGGCTTGTAAGCATTGGGAGCATGTTGATCATGGGGGTGTTTGCAGCGACACTTTGCTCTCCATGTGCTGGGATCAAAATCCCGCCGACGCTGGAACCAGAACTCACCCACGTCCTCAGGACGGCCAGGAACAAACGCAAAAGCTTTGCACTCACAGCCCCCCATTGCACACTTGACTTTTACACTCTTACCTGGAGACAAAAGATATGAAACATATCTTGAGTAAAAGTATATCATACGTTCACATTTGTCTTGCTTCTTGGATTCACTGCTTCATCTTAGGCTTGTCAAGTTTTAGCTTGCAAGATTTATAGAAATGCTTCAGCAAAAATTAAAGATATTTTGAAAGACCACCTTTAATGCAAGAAAACTGAAAAGGCAGTACATGCAAAAATGCATGGCTGCAAGAAACAGCCCAATAATCATAGCAACATTAAGGAAAGTTTATCTCCACAGACGAGAATAATAAATCTGTACCAGTGTATTGTGCATGCTGATTGAGTAGGTGACCACAGAAGCACTTGGACATGTCCCCAACTCTAATACAGTCCCAAGTGAACTCTGGACACCTCCATCCAATGTAGACTCCTGAAACAAATAGTACAGCATGGATGTGTGGTACAGCTTACAATCTCCATATTTGGGCATATCCAGCAATGTAATCAATGATAAACTTCATTTGAAATTACTTTTCATTGTGTGGCCACGAGGTAAAGGAAGCCTGGTGTCCAGCCTTGTAATAGCTAACAAAGCTGAACAGCAGATCCTAGAGGTCAGACTGCTTTAAACCCTTAACAGTAACAGGTCCGAATGTTAGCCTCTCCTTGAGTTACGAAAACCCACCACACTATCAAAGGTTTGTCCCAGTATGAGCAAGGAGATGAGATGATGAGATGAACTTTCATGATAGTATGAGCAAGGAGGCTTTGGTATGAGTAGATCATATGTTGACCAATAAGTGTTAAGCAGGAAGTAAAACTTTTATTGCACAGAATGACAGAGGAAGCAAAGTGAAAATCACCTGTTGTTATAGCAGCTAGTGCAGCTTCTCTTTCTGGATCAAAGAGGGTTTTCACCTTCCCTGCAAAGTCATCGTTCATCGCCCTGGCAACAGATATCAGCTCCGCCTTCTTTGCTGGGATGACAGGTCTTGCTGTGTAACCTGAAGGGCAGAAAGTTGCTATGGGAGAAATATCCACAACAGCAAAACTTCAAATACATTAAAAATCCTCCAGATATTTACATTTTTGCAACACAATTTCATACTTCAAGGATAACCCACAGCAAGGCACCCCAAATTTTGGGTGGTAAACCGATTACCAATAGATGCACAGTCAGACCAGCAGTTTATAAATAAGGTGCACCTGTCACAATACAATGAGGTTGCATAATTTTTTACTCCTTATTCCTGAATGGAAGGGTAGGCAGGTATTTCTGAATACAAGATCATTATGCAATGCTATCGGGCTGGGATGACC